GTCAGACTTTTGAGTTGAAGACTCGGGCTACGGTTCCCAACGAAAAACTCCTTCGTGTCTGTGGATTACCGCGAAATATGTCATACCCCAAAGTCTTGGGTACCCATTGAGATAACCTCTCTCTTCACTCCGGTTCCTCCTGTCAGTTCTAAGTCATATATGATACATCCTGTTTGCACATACCATGGAATAACACTCAGCGTTCAACTAGTAAGGTCAACTAGCCAGAAGCTAACAGATTTTTGAAATCAAAACCTCCTTTTCGCTTAGCCGCATTGAATTTCTGCGCACTCTGTCAGATTGGTCAACAATCTGCCCTAGTTAGAATCCTTGAAAGTTTTAGCATAGATGTATGTTGTGTCTATGAAAAACGCATACAGGGTCCTACTTCAAACATCACCTTATGATATCCAGATCCGCTGTACATGTGGATGGCTCAGTACTAGTCCACAGCTACAAGACGAAGCGCCGGTGCTTATTCGTCGTATCCGTGTTTGCACCGACTGGTTGCAGTTGCCTGAAATGAAGGATAAATTCTAGAGGGATCCCCCAACTGCACCAAAATACTCGATCACCGGACATCATTGTGGTCGTTGGAGACTTTGATTTTCAAGTTGGATCCCTGTACGAATCAAGAAGACTACTTGGCGGTTCACAACCATCCAGACGAACAACGCAGAACGTCTGCTCCAACTTTGCACTGACCACGTATTGTTCCTATTAAGCACTAACTTCTCCTCTAAGAAATGTCACCGCTTTACATGGAAACCGTGGGTGATCGGTGCATATGTTTGACAAGTAGGGTGCTAATAGATCAGGACCATTAGTTTTGTTGACTTTCATTCTCCCCAGTCCTTAGAGAACATCGTCCGGGCGTTAGTTGCATCATGGGTCGGAAAAGGAGTTGCGAGGCAGCTTGAGGCAAATACGGCAGCGAATTGGTAATGTAGTTACCCAACCTTGTGACAAGACCCAATGAGTGGGCCACGGAATTGCCGCAAGTTAAACCATATCTTACGACAGCTTTTATTACACAAATCGGTTTCAACGTGTATTTCCCTCAGGCGACTAACTTCATCTATAATTAGAGCACATAGTTCCTTTACACTGTTTCACCAGTCACTCATGTTAGCCGTCTTTTTGTCACAACGTAGTGGCTTAAGGCGAGAGGAAAGAAACTTATCAGTCCGAATGTAAATACCTTCAACAGGGCAGCATTGATCATAGGAAAAATTAAGATAATCAGTAAAATGTTCGCAAGATGAGACTACGGGATCTAGTCGAGAATGAAAGTAATGGCTGGTTTCAAAATATATCTTAGATTAAAAAAATGTGTACTGGGATCAGATGTGCAAACCGGCCCTCGTTTAAGAACATGAAACAAACTAGGTCTATCCGCATATATGCCATCAAGATGAGCATTAACTCGCCGGTTTGGAAGGAAGTATCAAAGCGATTAAAGCCATCGGCTGTAATGCACTAAGACTGATAAATGAGTGATAAATTGTGTTGATATGTTATCAGCAAGCACTGTTACATCAGGGGCAATGTAAAATATCCACAGAGTCAATAAAACGAAATCCGCTGAGAAAGCGTGGGTTTCACGGACGAAAGTACGATTAAGAAAGTAAGCATCAACTGGGTGCTGTTCCATCAAGTTCGGCTGACAAGGAGGAACACTCGGTCACCTATGTTGTGAAACTTCACAATCCCCTGTTTCCTGAAAACAACAAAACCGTCAACTCAGACCACAGTGTCCTCAATGCTTTTCAGCGCAGCCCATCAGCCAACATGATGCTCATAAGGTGGCCTTGACTCCTGCTTCTTAACTGGTTTCATGGATTCCTCGGGGAACGAACAAAAACCGAAATTTGATGTCAGACACAAGGACACTAGGAGGTTTCATTGTAGAGGGGTTGTAAGGTAACATTTAAACTTCAAATTGAATGCACTGGTGTAAAAGTGAACATTCGAGAATATCCACTGCAAGTCCGGAAAGTTTGTCCAATCGGACAATGGCACCACTGAATTCAAAGGACTGTTTTTCCATCAGCGGCAGATACGATCAGAATCTCCAGTTCTGTATGATTAGAAACAGTTTCTATTCTCACCGTGAAATGAACGATTTGACTACCTCCTGTTCACTCATGATAATTAAAGTGACGGATTGCAATGGTTCCACTAGAATACGTTTGGCCTTGAACTCGACAGCAACGAAGTTGCATACTGCCTGAATTGATCCGTAGAGCCCAAAACATCCGTGTCGATAGCTTAGACTTCTCTACCACCATCAATTACCGTTTCCGATCCTATACTTGCGGAATGTGATTCACAGTCACACGTGTAATTATCTCAAATGGCATGGTTCATGCAGTATCATGTTGGGATTGGTGTCTTATGCATCAATTCTCCACCACAATTTTCTTTTACTATTTCGGGAGGGCTGGATTGAAGGTGATCCGTTATTGCAATTAGTTAGCCTAGACCTTTGATAATTTCGTTCTTTTGCGTAAGTGCGAAAGTGCTTGTTTTTACTGCTTGATAGCAAAAAACTACAAGCAAATGCTACACTACAAAAGTTCTCCACCTTTATTAATCACCAACTTGTTCTTTATACATGCGAATATATATATATATATATAATTTTCGAAGCCATTACTTATTGCAATGTATATGGATATATATAATTTGTGTTTGACAAATGCCGTCCGCTGGTTTGCATTTTCTCGTTCTTCGTAGCTGTTCATTGCCGACGATGATTGTGTCACTACTCTCGTCCATGGACAACAAGCTCAGTCCTGCAATCCCTAGACCGGTATGGCACAACTGTTCGTGTGTTTCTTCGACTAATGTACCTAATGGTGTCGATAGGGACTGGCTTTTTTCTGTACTCCATGGTGCTACATTATCCAGTGGTACTCTGTCTTGACTCCAAAATTATTTTCTTGGTAGAACACAACACGAAGTTTTAGGAAAACGTCTGACTCAATGCTGGTCAGTTCAAGGGTTCTCCAAGTAGCTTTTCTGTCTTCTTTTCTCTTTCTATGTTCGAGACCCTTCCATCAGTCCAGATGATTTTATTAAGTATGCTAATGCTGTTACCACAGGTTCCAAATTCCAAGATGATTTCGGTTTCTCACAGCCTTCAACCAATTTATCTGCTTTCAGCTTATGGTTCTGCAACAATACTACGCTTATCCGTTACGCACAGAACTTAAGCTATGTGTATACACTCCGTACCAGATGCCATTCTAAAATTGTATATGCTCGGACCACTGCCTACCGTTCTTCTGTAGCCCCATTTCTTTCGAAATTTCTGGAACAAAAACCATCCATCAGAGACCACTTTTCACAAATTTTGTCATCACCATCCTCTAATGAATTTGCAACGCCGTATTTGTTTTCTCTGTGGCTTTATGCGATGATAAATGACCCTGATGTGTATTAAGCTAAAACTGAACCCATTAGATTGAATAAAGCAATTCATGACTTGACTCGACGGCCGTTCTTTATCCGATAAACAAGTGAACGGCTTCCCTACCCCGTCTAATCACCTTTATTATTGGTTTGCTTGAGATTGGTCTCTACCGCATCACCTAAACACAGCGTGGGTGGGGTCACTGATCTAGTCGTGATTGCTATAAGAGGGTGTGATGGAAGTGTAACTGTTACCTGCACCACACTGTGTTGGTTCATTTAGTCCGAAGGTCGATTGGGTGGAGGTGTTTGTGTATACTGTCTATTTGTTTTGTTTTTCAAGCACATGTGAAGCTGTTCAAAAGTTCATTTTCTTTATCCCTCCCCACTCACTTAACTTCGACTAAATCCTGCGAGAGGACGAGTCAACTTTATGAACCATTTGGAAGTTCATAACGTTTTGTGAGAATTTGATACGAGCAACATCTCCGTTATTGCTCAACTTTAGATTTGAAGGTGCACCTTTAGCCTTTACACAACCAAATGTAATCCACATAGCAGTAGGGCTTTTTATAACGATTGAGTTAGATTTAGGTAACCGCCTTAGTTTTTGGATCTTGAGTATCATCTCGCTTAGCCAATTTGCCGGAAGTGCTCACTGTTATCCGAGGAATCAAATCAAGTTGAATTATACTCTGCGCATCCAAAGGGTGACTTTTCAGCGATTTTCACGAGAATACAGTGGAAGGAGTAAAGAACTCAAAGGAGTTTGGCGAGAGTAAATAACGATAACACACTGCGAGCAATAAGACGATAAAAATCGTTAAAAAAGTAACTCTAGAGACATTTCCCCACGCCTGCAATAATTGGTATCCGGTTCACTAAAGAGCGCTCAAGATAATAGATAAAAATGTTGTTTCTGTACGCGGTGGTGCGTGAAGGAAGGAACTTATAATAGAAGCGATTACGTTTCTTTAACACTCATTTAAGATTTTTTTGTGCGAGCAGTAATGTTTATTGTTTAAGATTCTATTGGCCATATTTTCACATGCCTCGATGTGATTGTACACAATAAAAACAGCCAGAACATTTAGGACTATACCACTAGGTCAAAAGTGGGCTTGATGAATCTGGAAACTAATGTGAAATTCTTTTCTTTCAAACGAGGACCAAATAGGAAACAGTACAACCAATGTTGGGGGATGCATGCGAGCACCAGTGTAAAAAACACATTTGGGGAATAGTGAACCTTATAGACTTGAAACCATAATGAAGTTTACGAACCCTGTTGTAAACATTCTCTACTTAGCTAATTCAGGTGGGCTTGTGAGATAGAACGATGCCAAGGTATTTAACAGTGTCAGCTTTGGGCATGTCGTGAGCGTTGACGACAAGTTCAGGTAGATCAATCTAAGTAGTTTGTTAGCAGGCGCCGGATTTAAGATGAGGAAAATCAACACATTTTTCATTCCTTCACTTGTTGTTAGCTTACATTTCTAGCGGTTATTTGCTGTTTTTTTTTTGTACTAATGGATGCTATATCATCCATTGCTGGTTAATATTTGTCCGTTCTTTACCTAGTCGCCGACTTGCCGGGGTTGATCACCGGAGCCGCAGAGCACAACAAAGGTCTCGGTGCACAGTTTCTCAGCTTAGTCGCTGACTGTCGATTGCTCGCCTACGTGGTGGATGTGGGTACACTATGGCTTAGCGGAGAAGCACATCCTAATATAACGGACCGAGCAACATGGCTTAAAGATCAGATTATCCAGCAGTTGGCTATGCTTCAGCACGAACTGGGCACGTTCGATTCAAAACTTACGGACCGACGAAGGTGCTTGGTCGTAGGTTCCAAAATGGATCTTGTGGTTCCGTATATGAATGATTCCAATGGGCGACACAATTTGTGGAGTACGGTGCAGAAAGCAATAAACAAAGCTACATTAGACATGGGTTTGCTGGATGCAACTAATCTCGACCGTGTTTTACTCATCTCAGCTCGTCGAGGGGACAATATAGATGCTCTGGTGCGATGCATTCAACAACATGTGCGAGACATTTGTAAAATGAGTAATGACGAATCATCATAATTGTACACATAAACATATTTTTGATCTAAGCGTTTGCTGTTGGGTTTTCATTTTCTCAAACGATATATTCGGTAGTCCAATGGATAGCGTCCTGCTTGCAAACTCATTGCTACTGATGCTCAGCGAGATAGAAAGATCCTCACAGTACTGAGTTTTCAGTTCATATATTGCACTGTATAATTAAAGTTTAATGTAGTGAAATCAAATATTACACGAGCAACTGGTTTAACATCAGTCTATGCGTATTTCATGGGCCCTTTCTAGAAGCAGTACCATTTCTCACATTGCGGTCGTTCTTTTTGACGATTTACAACTTAGATGAACGCCACGATAAGTTCTTCCCTCTCTGCGGTACTATGTACACCTGAACCGCTTTTGTCAACCAGTCTTGATGATGGAAGAAGTTTGTTGTCCACAGTTTATAGATTTTTTTTTAATTATTTCATTTTTCAAACCATGAACAGTTATCAATGGTTTTATTCATAGAGATTGTTTTTCTTGTCACGGAAAACAGTACTTTCTGTCAATCATTTCTAACCGATTACCGAAATGAACGTGTGCACATACTCTTGACTAGCTTGGACAAGGTGCATTGCGAAAAGCAAAAGTCGTGCTAGTTTCCATCTTTCGAAAAAACGATCTCAAGTGTTTTACCGCACGCGACCACTGTCTGGACGGAACGCAGAGAACCCGTCAGGCTGCGCATGGATCCGCGTCACACCACAAGTGCGCTCGCGACACTCAAGGCGAATGGATTCCGGATTGGATGACTAAGGCGAATCAGTCAGCCATGGTCCGATCGACCAATCGGAGTGTCAATGGTGCGATA